ATTGCATCACTATGCATTGAGAATGACGTATTGGTTTTTACTGATGAAGTTTATGATAAGTTGGCCTTTGATATGGATCACATTTCTATGGCATCCCTTCCCGAAATGTATGAGCGAACGGTAACTATGAATTCGTTGGGGAAGACATTCTCCCTAACAGAATGGAAAATCGGGTGGGCAATTGCTCCACCACACTTGACTTGGGGAGTGCGGCAAGCACACTCATTCCTTACTTTTGCTACTTCCACTCCAATGCAGTGGGCGGCTACAGTTGCTCTCCGAGCCCCGGATTCGTACTTTAATGAGCTAAAGAGAGATTATATGGAGAAAAAGGAAATTTTGGTGGAAGGGCTGAAGGATGTTGGTTTTAAGGTATTCCCATCAAGTGGAACATACTTTGTTGTTGTAGATCACACCCCTTTTGGGCTGGAGAACGATATTTCATTTTGCGAGTATCTAATAAAGGAAGTCGGAGTTGTTGCCATCCCCACTAGTGTGTTTTACTTGAATCCGGAAGACGGAAAGAACTTAGTGAGATTTACCTTCTGCAAGGATGAAGGAATTTTGAGATCTGCAGTTGAGAGGATGAAGGAGAAGCTGAAGAAAAAGTGATTATAAGGTAGGGAACTAAACTTGAATTAGATTATTGCTAATATAATATGAATTGATAGTATGTCTCTTTCCATGAATGTAACCATTAAATTCCCTGGAAATTCAAAATATTCTGTAGAACAAAGGCATCAAAAATGGTTGCAACAACAAAAATCCCTTTGCCAAAAACTTTTCTCATCCTTTCCTTTGCATGGACGATAACAGTGTGAACATAGACAAAACCAAACATTAATATGCATCAATAAAAGAAAAGAAAACTCTGAAAGAGAGGATTGCTTTATGCAGACCTAGAAAGCCATACTTTTCTGCTTAAGTTGGTACATGTATGGTAATATATGTTGTTTCCAATTTGATAATTTCTTAAACCTTAACCATATTGATCAAAAATAGAAGAAAAAGCATCAGAAAACTAGAATATCATGTCTCAAAGCCCACCTAATGCTACCACTGCTGCTACTGATGGGGCCAATGGCACCGATGCTACTGCTGCTGCTACTGAGGGGGCCAATGGTGCACCCCCTGAGAGGAACCACCAGCTTTACCGGTGTTACCACTGCCATCAATCTGTCCAAATTGCCTCTACGAATCCTCAGGAGATTGTCTGCCCTCGATGTCATGGGCGGTTTGTTTGCGAGATGGAAATCACCAGACCAAGGATGGTTGTTGATTTCACTGCTTATGATCCATCCCCTGATACTCGTTTGTTGGAAGCACTGTCCCTTCTTATGGATCCCAGGCTATTCAATCTTGGCAATTATGATAACCAAGAACCTCGAGGCAGGCCTTGGTTCAGACGTCGGAACAATTTACTTGACCCTGGAGATGAAATTTGCCCAGGGAGCATCTTCGCAGGCGCAGGAGCCGTAGTTCTGATGAAACCAATGATAGAGAACAAGAACCTGAATCTCTACGTCTTCCTAGGACTTGGATTATCGTACACCCTGCAGGTCCTTTCAGCCTATTCGAAGGTGATCCAACTTTGCCACATGAAAACCTTGCGCGCCCTGGTCTTGATCCAAGGAACTTCTTTTTTGGATCGGGGCTAAATGAGTTGATAGAGCAACTAACACAAGATGACAGGCCAGGAGTACCCCCGGCTCCAGAGTCAACAATTGATGCGATTCCGACCGTGAAGGTTATGGAATCACATCTACGCCATGATTCACAGTGTCCAGTTTGTAAGGAGGAATTCAAGGTCGGAGAAGAGGCAAGGGAGTTGCCTTGTAACCATATATACCACAGTGATTGCATCGTGCCTTGGTTAAGGCTTCACAATTCTTGCCCCGTTTGCCGCCATGAGTTGCCTGTTAGCAGTACTGATGATCAATCTAGGCCGGTTAGCAGTAGCGATGAACAATCTAGCAATGACTATTTCTCTGAACCCGAGTTTACTTCGGCTTCTTCCGATGAAGGCAGACAGTGTTGGAGACTCAGGCAACTGGCTAGTAATTTGTGGCCTTTCCGTCGAAGGCATCCGAGAATTAACCCCGAGACTGATAGAATCAGAGCAGTTCCTGGTAATGAAAATTGATTCTCTGCGATTTCATTTTTATGCATGCAATATGTACCCTTCTGGAAAGATAATCATAATTTCATACTCATATAACAACAGAAAATCATAAAACTTAACATAATTAGAGTTTTATCATGCAGCCAGTAATGTAAATCATAAGGCTTAATTAGCTTATAATCTTGCTATTAATAGACGCTAAAATCATGTTTAACTATTTTTCCAGCAGTTGAATCAAGGACGCGACATTGCAGTATTCTTTAGGATTTTATATGCGGCTGTTCATGAAGACATTGTTGCAAAAGTAAAGAGGGAGATTTTACCTTTTGATTATGGATGAACAACAATTATAGTTGTGTTGTGTTGATTGATGTATTTACCAGCATAAAAAAGTAATAAAAACCAATGTTCTTGAATATTGTCTCCACTGGAAAGCCATTATTTTGATCAGCAACGTTCTTAAGAACTTCTCCAAAAATATTTCTGGATCAAAAGTGTATCATTTTAGCATACTTCTGAAAGCAGTAAGGAAGCAGCTGCTCAATCCAAAAGTTCTTCCACAAATTTCCCAGAATCTGCAAGCAGAATCGATGCAGCCCATGTTTAATTCCAAACATTATCGTACTTTGTCATCATTTTCTGTTTTATTGTTTGGCAGCTTCTTCTTAGTAGTTGGTTTTCTCTTCTTACTTTATTTTTCATCGCAACGTGTATCTTTTATCCTTTCTCTGTTTTTTGAACATTGGCAGTCGTGTGTATGAGCATCTATGCTGGTACGTTTTCCCCATGAGCCGACAACAATAACAATGGATTCCATGTCATTTTCGTTATACAATGCAGCAACATAAAGGTAGCAGAAAAGAGAATGAAGAAAGGATGCAGTAAAACGATGAAAAAGGGTGACCTTTGAGGGTAGCATCCGCCGGTATTTTTCATCCAACTAAAACTCAAAATCGTAACCCGTAAGATTAAAATCATCTTTAGTATGTAACATGTAAGAATGAAATTATCATTTAACCCAACCACTTAAATATTTATGAGATCCACTTACTCCTCGTTATATCCGTCCTACGATCCTTTTGCAGTAAAATTTTGATTCTGTGTGTTGTTCTGTTATCTTACCCTTTTGCTATGCACGATGTATGCGTGACAGTGACATGATATGCTCTGCTAATTCAAGGGTCTGGAAAATACAATTGATGGAATCTAAAGGATGATTTTCCTTTTACACTTCTTTTTATAGGTCCTTTTACTTGCAGTTAAATGCTGACAGAGTAGTTTTTTTATCTGTTCATGAAAATCATTTCTAGTTTTAGATATTATCATACTATAAAATTTAGAAAGACACTTTGTGCAAGCCCCCGGTGGCCATTCTCAAGATCAGCGTAGATGCAGCATGCTCCTTATCCAACGGCCGATCTGCGGTGGGTGTTGTTGCACGCGATCACCACGGTTTGATGGTATTCTGTCAAGCCATTCCTCCACCTGAGTGTTGGGATATATAGTTGAAGCCACTGCTATTACATTTACATATGGTCTCCACCTCGAGGTTGAGCTGCCTTACTCAAAGGTTTATATCGAAAACGACACGATAAATGTAGTTCGTCAATTGATGTCCTCGCAGGTTGGTACGTCTACCGTTGATTTTCATCTTGCTGAAGTCTGTCAATTACTCCATGCTCATAGTGATTTTCGGATTCATGCCATTCGCTGCTCTGCAAACTTTGCCGCTTGAATCACCTTACTCAAAGGTTTATATCGAAAACGACACGATCGCACCTTGCTCAGTTTACTTTTGTCTAATCCAATGTCTTTATATTACGATTATGAATCACCTGATTGTATTGCGGATGTGATACTTTTTTATGTCATTAACGCCATATTGTAAATATTGTCCTTTCTTTAAAACGGAAAAAGAAAGACACATTGTACTCTTAAAGAAAGAATAAAGATTTAAACCTTAAAGATATATATATATATATATATATATATATATATATATATAAATTAGGTTGTTAACTTGTTATTAAATAAAAAAGTATGATACAATAAAAGCAACACAATCTCAACATGAAGATTTGGACGGCTGAAGAAAAATATAATCAAAACCTTCGCTTGAATACATGTTTCTATCTTTCACAAGAACTTAGCAATTATCAACAATCACCATGTCACTATTCAAGCATAGGCACAATTTTAATGAAAGCGTGGATATTGAGAAAATCAATCTGACAAGCAGTTCTGAATACGTCGATAAACTATCGTAAAAGAGGATCTATTTATACGAGACCGTCGACCTTTCCTAATCAGAAGATACGACGTGATGAAGGCAAAACAAAACGTCAAACTATCATAATGATTGAAAAAATCATACCATAAAAGCAGAAAAACAAACGTGTTATAAAAGCATACAAAAATTAAAACTTCAAGAATTTGTGAAAAGAAAGAAATAAAAAAACGAGATAATGTCTATTTAGATCTAGGTCAAAAGATAATTAAAAAAAGACGATGACACGTAGACTACCGCCTAAAACGATACTCTAAAAGAAAATTAAAGAATTACTTAGAGATAAAATAAAAAAATAAGAATAAGATTTAGATGTTGAGGTGCAATAATTGAAATTACTATGATTATTTATGACAATAGCCTAAAAATGTGAATTTTTTAAAAGATAAACAGAAACTACGTATGGTTTCAAGTTTCAACAATGTCCATTGTTTGCTCCCATTGACAGAGGCATTTTTAACAATAATACACAGGGGCTCCCTCACAGTTTCCAAACGCCTGTCAAGAATGGAATATGACTAATTTGAAGAACCCTAACATTTAACAAGAAACATATACAAAATATTTAATAAAAAATACTTTTTTTCCATTACAAAGGTAGCGTGCCATTTAATTTGCAGAATTTATACATAAATTGAATACGTAGAAACCCCATTTGAGATTCCAAAAAAAAAAGGTTAATTTTCACATCCATGTGGATTTCTTCTCCCTAACCAAAAAGTAAACTTAAAATATGAATTTTGAGTCACTGTCAGTAATGCCTTCAAACATCAACTGAAAGTCATCAATGAATACAAATGAACGAAAAAAAATGGAGTAATGTAATGCCTTGAATTTGCCTTAGGGAAAACTCCATAGACGAATATCGCCTAACTCCTCATAAAAATCATTCATCACTGCCGGTGGATCAAATGGCAATAAGTTGAACATCTGATCAATGTACTTTGGAGATTGCAGGCAATCAAAGGGACTGTACCATGGTTCCACCATAGAAATAGGCTCAAGTGATTGCATCAGTGATACATCATCATCGAGTACTTGATCAGATGGTGAAGATGACATTGATGGGGATGAAACAGATGGCGATGGAGATATTGGTAGGGAGGTGGTGGTGCCATTGTTAACGAAACTATTAGAAGCCGTAGTGGCGGCGGCGGCGGCCACTCTTTGTATAGACTTAGGAGACATAATGGTATCAGGAATGTAATGAGTGGATGTGAGTGGGAAGTTGAGATTTGCGGAGGAACCTTTGAGGCATAGAAGCGCAGCATCATAGGCTCTAGCAGCTGCTTCAGCTGTAGAATAAGACCCTAACCAAATCCTTGTTTTCTGATTTGGAGCCCTAATCTCAGACACCCAAGAACCCCAGCTCCTCATTCTTACACCCTTGTACTTCTTCTTTAATGATGATGATGATGATGGAGATGGAGATGGTGATGCTTTCATTTGCTTTGTTGGTTCTGCTTGTATCTTTTGTTGACCACTCTTCACCATTGGCAATAAACTATAAAGAAAAAAGATCAATTTATGAACAAACTGCAGTGTGTACTTGTTGGATGGAAAAAGGGTCAAATGCTTGTGGTTTTTGTTGGTTTTGAAACTGAGGAGTGCAATGAAGTAATGAGCTGAAAGTGGGGAGTATTTATAAATGGGGGGAGGCTTTCAAGTTGGAAGATCCCTTGGTCAAATCCGTATGGTTCCACATATGAATATGAAAACGTAGAAATGTGTGACAGACAGATATTTAAAAGTGTATGTAAATGGAAAATAGATACCAGTTGGTGGTGGTGGCATAGTAAATATATTGTAGATGACACATGCAGTGGAGAAATGTCGATTTTCAAACCTCACACTCAACCTACTTGTTGGAGAGAGTCCAAAAACTTATGTTCATTCACAAAATTACAGCTAGAAATCATTTTTGAATGATTCTACACCAGATGGCTCTGCTGTAACTTTTAATGGAAATGGCAGTTGAATGTCATCTTGCTGCATTACTTCATTAACCCCATCTCATAAAAAGTTTGACGTTAAAAGCTGGTGGTTTCTAGAGTATAGGTTTTAAGCAATCCATTCATGATAAGATATATACATCTTGCTTACCTAATTATTTGAATTTGAATTATTTAAAGAGAAATATAATATATATATATTTTACTTAGGTCCATATTATTTTCCTTATTATTTTATGTTTTTACTGATGTAATCATTTTATTTTTGGTAAAAATTAACTGTTTATGCGAAGAAAAAGAACGAAATACCCTTTTGTTTATATAATACGCTATTGTGAGTTTAGAAAGGGAAAGAGATTCTTCGTAGGCTGCTTCCAAGATCTAGAGGCTTTTTATTAATCAGGGCATATGTATGAGACTCTCTAAGGGAGTAATTAATAGGGGTGTGCAAAAATACTTGATCCGGTTGATCTGACTCGTTGATTTGAACTTAAAAAAGGGTAATTTTCTTAAAAAAATTACCCGACCGGATAGGGTACACCACCTAAAATTTCCCGGATCAGGCTCGTGTCACAAAATTGAGTTTTTCAAAAATACTCGGTTACTTGTATACCCTATTAGTTTTTATTATATAATATAATGGATTATTTATATTATCAATTATTAGATTTTGTATTTCGAACTTTTAAATTTTATGTTCGGATGTTAGAGTATGTAATTCGAAGTTTCGAATATTTAAATTTGTGTATATTTTTTTAAATTAATATTTTGAAAATTAAAAAAAAATCCGGGTCGAGACACGGACAGAGAAATCACCGACCCGAATGGTACTCGAGTACCCGAAAATCCGGGTACCCGGATTTGTACACCCCTAGTAATTACACATCTATTATTTAAAAAAAATGTTAATTTAATTTAATTTATTAATGAGAATAAAAATTATAACCAAAATTTACATACTCGAATTTTTTTAAATAAAATATTAAAATTGTATACTCTTATTTTTTAATTTTTAGATTCATCGTTGATTATAATCATATTATTCTAATTTAAATAAAAAACAAATAGATTATTTAACAAAATGAAAAAAAATCATTTTATATATTTATAAAGATATATTTTTTTTCATAAATATGTACACAAATAGTATAAAAGTTATTGCCAATGTTGAAAAAACACAAGAATAAAAGAGAGAGAAAAGCCAGCTGTTGCTGCTCTGGCTGGCAGGTCTAACACCGCGTCTCTTGGGTATCCGTCCATCAGCCATGATGTCTCGTGCAAACTTTTTTTTATATAAAAAAAGCAATCAATTATTTATTGCATCAAGCGTAACAAGGTTCGAGATACAATTCGTAAATTCAGAAACATTAAACAGGGTTAAAACAACCGAAAGCTCAATGAGTCAGTGTGTGCGCAGCAATATAACCTTATCTTCTGGTAAAGATAACTTTAAAACGTGGTTGCAAAGCGAGGTGTCTTCAAACTTGAAATAAGTGAAAGCCAACAATAGAGAGATCGAGGGTGGGATTGGTCAGTCTTCGAGTAATACTTTGTGCGTCCCCGTAATGTCTTCCCATCCGTTCTCAACTACTAGAGCAATGCCTTCAGCAAAAGCACAAGCTTCCACGATTTCAGTCAAATGATAATTTATGAGTTTACGCGCAGGGACGGATCTAAAAATTTGTGTCAAAGGCTATGAATATAAAAAAGTTATATTAAAAGTTTAAGGAGTGAGAGATTAAATTTTTTTTAAGGAATGCGAAATCAAATAATTTATATAAAATGTAAAAAAAAATACATAATATATAAGGGAATTTAAAATTTTAGAGGGTGCTACCACACTCTCAACACCCCTCGTCCATCCCTGTCTGCGTGCATGTTCACCCACGATTAAGCCATTGTAATCTCTTTAGCAGTGATGAAAGAGGGACACAATGAACAACAATATATTTCAAAACGTGTTTCATCCAGTGACGACAATAAAGATTAAGAAAAAGAAATTTGAATGTTAGAGGATTGTTTCTAATAGTTTGAGGCAAATTTAAGAAGAGAAACACATGTTGAATTTAAATTCAGGGTAAAAGAAATAAATCAAAAAGCGTAGAGTTGAACTATCGTCAACAGTGGCTAACAATGACCAACGGAATGGACTCTGGTTAGAATATAGTTTGATCATAGAGAGATGAGTAGATGACTGATGAGAGCTTGGGGCTAGAGAGAGGAAGAAAAAGAAGGAAAGAAAATGAAAATATACTAAATTGATTGAATTTGTTAATATAAATGATTAAAATTATTATTATCCTAATATAAATGACTAAATATAGAGTTTACCCTAAAATTAAAACCCCAATACACACATCATCTCTAGTCTTTTTCATGCAATTTTGCTTAGCTGCTTACGCATGCATGACTTGACTTTCTCCCACAAGTTTCTATTCATTGGGTCCCGCAAAACCAAAATCAACTACGTTGTCTGTCATGTTGGCCACGTGCGTTTCAAGATTAAAGCCACCCCCTTTTGAGGCACAAATTACCCTTTCTAAAGTTAGGGTTATGGACCAAAATACGTATAAAGTTTATTAGTTTTTGTAACTTTGGGATAGATGGGACGACCCAAATTTTTATATACCATGCATTGGTTTGCTGCACATTGTATTTTGTCATCTTTCCTATCAGGGAAATGGGCATTGATATGCATGGAAATGTGCAAAGATTTAGCAAATAAGTATACATTGCATAGTCCGGGTCGTTATATGGACTCAAAAATAAATATTCTATAACAATAAAATTTCCTTATAATTTTATATATTAGAAATATCACATCTTTGTATGTGCCAGTAGATTAAGAATACATATAATATATATTATATTGTAATCACCTCAAATTATTATATATATATATATAAAGATAAATTTTAATTATAAGATCACAAAAATCAGGTCATTTATAAAAGATAAGATGACTATTTGTAGAACTCATTAAGCGACTTAGTGATAAAAGAGATAGCTACTTTCTCTAGACTTCATATATTTAAACACTTTTATATATATATATATATATATGCATGATGTGTATATGTTATTATGAAAAATTAAAAATGATATTATATTATAATCGTTGTGATTATTAAAAAAAATGACTATTTATAAGGTAATAATTGGAAAGGATTACACGTTCTACTAAAGAGCAATGACAGGGAAACATTAAGTTGGTGTTTGTTTTTATTGTGTAAGGTCTGCAAAGCTCTTATGTCTGAGCCGCGCAGACCACGCACATACATTGGGCTTCTCATACTGTTTGTTTTTTAGAAGACAGAAGTTCTTCTAACATCTGCGCAAGGTTTTCTTGGTACAGACATGGTTTTATGTCTTCAAAGGTCTTCAAACCTCTTCAAAGAAATTAAAATTATTTAAATCTATTTTAAAATTTATTTTAAAATATGGATTGATTTATTTTAAAATATGGATTGATTTATTTTTAAATATAAATTGATTTATTTTAAAATATGAATTGATTTATTTTAAAATATAAATTGATTTATTTTAAAATATTGATTGATTTATTTTAAATTATGTATTGCTTTATTTTAAAATATGGATTGATTTATTTTAAAATATGAAAAAAAATTATTTTAAAATATGGATTGATTTATTTTAAAATATGTATTGATTTATTTTAAAATATGAAAAAATTTATTTTAAAATATAGATTGATTTATTTTAAAATATAAATTGATTTATTTTAAAATATTTATTATTGTAGTTGTATGGATTATTTAAATTTCATTATTATAAAACTAAAATTATTTAAATTTCAGTATTGTAAAACTCTTTTAAGTTTAAAAAATCATTTTATTTATATTTCAGTTTATTTTAGCAGTTTGTAGACGTTAAAAAACAAACAGTCTTCTTCTGGCAGACTACAAACTTTTGATCTACCTATTCTACTGTAGATACCTACAAACCTTTTACCTCAACAAAAACAAACATCACCAAAATAATTTATCCTCAGAAATGCTGTTTCCAATGATAATTCATGTGGGAAAAAGAAGAGTGTCGGCTACCCGTACAAATCTTGCTCCTTTCTTAAAATTAGAGGGTTTTGTCCTAAATCAAGTGTGAATGAAGTATTATTCAATCAAATACTGCTGCAGGTGCCAGCACGATCTGATTTTGCAATAAGAAGATGCATTTTTAAATAATTTCGCTGCACATTTTGGGGCCATCTTTGCTCCTTTTTTTTAATCTATAATTTGTCAGAAATCTAGGAATGAAACAAGGGTTTAGTTTCTTGGAAATGAGCAAGTAGTTTCATTTTCTATATTCAGCAGCTGATCTGGATCAATATGGCAAATTTTAAATACGCGGTCTTTCCTTTTCTCTTTAATATTTTTATTTACCCTTTACCATAAAGCTGCTATATTTTTTTTCATTTATGATTTATTAAAAGTAGGGGGTGATTATTCCATCTAATCGAGTAAAAAAATTTGAGTTATTTGAGTTGACAAATCATATTTTGTAACTCAAACTTAATTTGAAATTTTTTCAAGTTGAGTCGAGTTTAAGAAATTCGAGTTGAGTTATTTGAGTTTCTATACAAATTTTATTATAATTATTTATAGTATTTTTTTGGATAAGTAAATTTTTATTATCCAAGTAAACATTCATTACAACACCCAATCAAGGATCAAGAAACTATGTACAACAAAAAATAGTTAGTCTATACCCCAATTGTTACAAAGAAGAGAATTGATATTATCAATTCTATTAAAGCCCCTATTGCTAAGCTGAGTGCTAACAATACCCTTAATGGATCGTAATATTTCATCCACAGTACGAGTTCTTCCTTGAAAAATCCTCCTATTTCTTTCCTCCCAAACGGTGTAGATGAAGAACACCAAGCAATCTTCAATATAGACGTTAGGAGTGATTTACCTTTCCACGTAGAAGTTGCCCAATTGATCATATCTTCCCATGTCATTTGCGGTTTGAGAATGAGGTTGAGGTTAAGAATCTGCTTCCACAGGCTGCTTGCAAAAATGTAGTTAGTAAAAAGGTGGTTTCTCGATTCCAAATGATCATTGCAAAGAGAGCAAGAAACATTAGTAGTAATTCCCATTATAGATAGTCTCTCTCTAGTAGGAAGTTTATCAAGAATAGCCATCCATGAGATGATGCTGAATTTCGGGATGTGCATAGGAAACCAAATAAGCTTGTGCCATGGGACTTTGGAATGCTTAACTCTTATCTCCTCCCAAATGGTTATGGTAGGCTTAGAAGTAACATTAAGAAAATAAAGAGCTTCAGTTCTGAGTTTCAACAGCCGTTTAAAACACCAGCTAGCAGAAGAACTTGCTGTCATGACTCTGAAGTCATTAGCTTTAATAACATAACAGTAAGTCCACGCTATCCATAAAGATCCATCTCCAGCAAGGAGGTATCTAATGAGCTGCATCATAATAGCCTTGTTCCAGGTTTTAAGGTCCTTTAATCCTAAGCCCCCCTCAGATTTTGGGCAGCAGATGTTAGCCCAACGAACACGAGCTCTAGAAGCTGCTACATTTGAACCATCCCATAAGAATCTTGAGCATAGTTGATTGATAGAGTTAATAACAGCCTGTAGAATGAGGAACTACCTACACCAGAAATTTGCAATATTAAGCAGAACACTTTTCACCAGTTCAAGTCTTCCAGCATAACTTAAGAATTTTCCAAACCACTGGTGGATTTTAGCCTTGATTTTGTCAATGAGAGCAGAGCAATCCTTAATAGTAAGATTCTTAGTGATTATAGGAACCCCAAGATACCTCACTGGAAGAGAACCAGTAGAAACTCCAGTTGAATTCTTAATGAGATCAAGGGTTCTAACAGATATACCAGCAGAAAACATTTCACTTTTTGCAACATTCAATTTCAGACCAGACATGGAATAAAATTGTTCTAAAACAATAATGACCCCGGTTACTGATTCGAGGTTACCTTTGCAGAAAATAAGGAGATCATCAGCAAAATAAAGATGGGTGAGTCCAAGCTTCTTACATTTTGGATGAAATCCAAAGATACCTCTAGAAGCAACAATATTGAGAAGTTTAGAAAGAATGTTCATAGCAAGAACAAACAAAGTGGGAGATAAAGGATCCCATTATCTTATGCCCCTTTCACCTTTGAAGTAACCAATCAAAGAGCCATTAAATGAAATAGAATATCTAGCTCCAGAAAAATAGACTTCTATCCACTTAATAAATAAAGGAGGCAACTCAATAGCTTTAAGAATAGAATAAATGAAGCCCCAATTGAGGGAATCTAAAGCTTTGTGAAGATCAATCTTGAGAGCACACCTAGGTGAAATAGAATTCCTCCCATAACCTTTCACAAGATCTTGAGCAAGAAGGGAATTATCAATGATAGATCTACCATTGACAAAAACATATTGGTTAGGGGTAATGATATCAGGCAGCAGATCAGTAAGTCTTTTACTAATAATCTTAGTGATAACTTTATACACCACTGAGCAGCAAGATATGGGCCTATAGTCAGAAACCTTACTAGGATTAGTGATCTTAGGAACCAAAGCAAGAATGATGGAATTGAAAGCTGGATGGATGAGAAAGTTGTGGAAAAAGAATTTAACAGCTTTGATAACATCCTCCCCAATAAAAGTCCAGGTCTTCTTAAAGAATAAGGGAGAATAGCCATCAGGACCTAGAGCTTTATCATTACCTTGAGTAAAGAAAGCTTGTTTAATCTCCTCAACAATAATGTCTTTCTCTAAATCTGTGAGAACATCTTGAGACAAGTTAAGATTAAGCAGATTTTTCAGGGTATTAGGATCAGTGAAGATAACTTTGTTGTCAACAATTCCTAACTGTTTTTTGAAGAAATCAATAAGCTTATAAGCCATATCATCAAAGGTTTCTAATCTGCTTCCTTGGTCATTGATAAGAACTCTAATGGTATCTTTTTTGTATCTAGAAGCAATGAAAGAGTGGAAAAATTTTGTATATTTATCCCCCTCTTTTAGCCATTGAATTTTTTATTTTTGTTTTAGGAACATGGAATCTGCAGCTTTAAGGTGAGAAAGCTCATTTTGAATTTTCAACTCATTTTCAATAAAACAATTCCCCTTAAGAGTTAGAACTGGACATGTTCAAGTTCAACTTTCTTTTGTTTCACCTTATGAGAAATGTTACTGAAATGCTCTTTGTTGATGTTCCTCAAACAAGTCTTAAGTCTTTTTAGCTTAATGACAAGAGAAGTCATAGGGTTACCTTAAACATGAATATGCCAAGACTGATTCACTTCATCCAGGAAATTTGGAAGAGTATACTAGAAATTGTAGAATTTAAAAGGCTTAGGATGATGAACAATAGCATTTTTATTAAGCCAAGTAAGAGCCATACAATGTCCGAAGGACCAGGAGCCAAAAAATCAACATGGGAGTTCAAAAAAGAAGTAACCCAAAAGAATTAATAAGGGCGTGTCTAGTTTCCTAGCAAGAAAAGTCTCCTTCTTCTTGTTGTTCCAAGTGTAAGTAGGGTCAAAGAAAGGATGATCATGAAGAAGGAGGTCATTAAGAGTATCCTTGAATTCAATCATGTCAGAAGAGGAATAAGGACCTAAAAAATCATGATCAGAGTTTCAATAGAATTAAGGAAGATATTGAAGTCTCCACCAAGAATCCAAGGATAGGAGCCATAGGTAGAGTCAAGCTCTCTAAGGTGCTGCCAAAGCATTATTCTTTGAATACCATCATTGTTACCATAAATAGCAGAAATGACAAAAGGAATACCATTGAAATGCCCTTTAACAGAGAGGCATTGGGCAGAAGCATGACAAAAAGAGAAAGTCAACTCCTTTCTCCAAAGGATCCAAAGTCTACCATTAGAAGCATAATCATAGTTGAAACAAAAATTCCAATTGATGAACTTGTTATTAATTATTTCATTAGCTTTATCAGCTTTCACTCTAGTCTCCATCAGGCAAATAACATCAACCTTGTACAGATTAGCCCTATTCAGTATTTTATTTGTTTATGAGGATGGTTTAATCCTCTAACATTCCAGAAGCATACTATCATTGGGATTAAGAAGCATTGTTACCCCACTAACTCTATCAGAGTTACTATTAACTTTGCATAATTATTCTTTCTTTTTAGATTTTAGATCCTTAATAAGTAAAGCCACACCTGAAGCAGCAGCCCTAGGCTTCTTACTTTGGTCCTCTAAAGAAGGCAAATTCTCATCAACAGAGTTAAGAATTTCAAATCTATTTGAGGAACCTTTAAGAGCAGTCTTAGGTTTTACTTTCACAGGTCTTCCTCTACCTCTCTTTGGAGCAGTTGAATCAATGATAACCTTATAAGATGAATCTGAATGAAAAGAAGATGTTTCAATAAGAACTTCAGAAAGGTTTGAAGTAAGAGAAGGTGCATTGTTGACAACATTTGAAATAACATACTCCAAGTTCTCTTCTTCCATATTTGAGATATTGGTATTTGAGTCCCTAATAACAACAGTAAGTTTGATTCCAAGAGAAGAACAGGAATGTTCATTAGAGGGAACCAAATCACAAATAATATTATCTTTTGGAGAATGAGAAGGAGAAACCAAAGGCTCGGGAATCAGAGAAGGAATAGAAGAGTCATTATGAATAAGATCAGTACCACTAGCAGAATCATTCTTTTTCATCCAAATATGTGAGGGAATAGGTTTAACACTCTTTTTGATTAAACATTTTTTCTTACCGTAACCAAATGAATTACAACTCTTACAGCTTTTAGGGTACCAAGGAACTTCCACAAATATCGTGGAAGTTTGTCCATTAGCAAGAACAACTTCAACAGTTTGAGGAATAACATCTTGAACTCCTACCTCAACAAAAACTTTCGCAAATTCTAACCTAGTTTTTGAGGCAGTAATGGAGTCCATAGTTAACGGATTACCAATTGCACTAGCTAAATAGCTTAATCCATCTCTCGAAAATAATTCAAGAGGCACGTTATAAAGGTGCACCCATAATGGGATTTTGGACAGATCAAAGTGTAATCTAGACATATTAGGCTACCATTTCCTTAAGATTAAAGGCTTGCCAAGGACCATTTTCCAATACCCAATCCCTAGCTGAATCCGAATTGAAAGAGAATAAGTAGAGATTACTACCAGCGAAATTGACCTGAACTCGAGTCCCTTTCAAAGAGTTATTCCACTGATTTTCAACAATTTTCAGCATTGTTGAAAAATTTGGAGCAGCCCCGAGAAATTACCCCACCAGCGAAGATTTCCACTCAACAATTCCAACATCGAAAACTTCTTGAGGATGTTGGACCACCAGATTAGGGCCTCGTAAATTGGGGGAAAGAATTTGAGCTCCTGCCCAGATTGACATGAGAATTTATAGTATTATGGTAAGGATTGATTCTAACTTTTTGATTCTCTATCCATATAATATATATATATATATATATATATTCATATTCTTTTCACATTATAATATTATTTAATATATCAAATACAATCTAAAATTATAAAATATATTTATAATATTATATTTTATAGATATTTTGAGGGTAAAATATTGATAAGAGTATAAAAGAGTCAATGAATTGATGAGAGAGAATTTGCAAACATTGTAGTTAAAAGATCAAATTGAGTAAAATGAAAAGTTAATGGACAAATAAAAAAGGGAGTCTATTTTTAGTAAAAATAGGAATTGAAGTTACATAGGTACTATGTAGTGGTATAGGAGCATATGGTTCAAATTTGGTAAAAAATGGACTTAAAATGAATGATGAATCGAAGAAATAAGGAAATCATGAAAAATTGAAGGACTAGATTGAAAAATTAAAATAATGTTATCAAAAAGGAGGAATTGAAAGCACATAGGTATTCTAAGATATTTTAGGAGTATGTGGTTTAAATTTGGTGAAAATTAACTTAAAATGAAGGAGGAATTGAAGGAATAAGAAAATTATGGATTAAATCGTAAAACTGTCAAAATAGTTAGTTAAATTTTCAGTTTTTCAAGTAACTCGAAATTTTCAAATTTTAACTCGATTTGAACTCGAAAACCCTTATCGATAATTCGAGTTGACTCGAATAACTTGAAATCAATTTTTTTTTAACTTTTCGAGTCGAGTTAAATTTTACTCACCCCTAATTAAAAGTATAGGTTTAAGTTACGTGGAAAGAGACGAACTTTGTATCTACCTGGCATGGGTTAGAGGTCAGACCCCTTCACTTCAAAAAAATAAATAACACTTTCATCTACCATTAAGTCCACTTGATAGATTCCATGTTGAAAACTCTGCTGCATGCTGGAAACTCTTTTATGCATAAGATAAAGTAAAAAGCAGCAGATATATAGAAATTTGTCCTAAAGCTTTCTCTATCATTATAGGACTCACCCTCAAGAAACCCTACTTGATAGAAACAAACACAAATGTGATTAATGAAGATTCATGCTTCTTCCCTATCTCAAGTCTCATCAAATATACATTTCTTTTCTGGATTGCTTAACTGGCATTGACGGCACCGTACTCTCCCATAACTATGCCGTACCAGGAGTGTATCGAGGAAGGTGAGAAGGAGATTTCATTGCATTAAAAAGGGATGTGGAGAATTGAGCCTTAGCCAGCTGGAATTATATTTTTGTTGTGAGAGTGGACCAAAGGATCATTTTGTCTGACTATTGAAATGGAGAAAGTGGTAAGAAGGATTGAAGTATGTTGGATGATAGAGAGGCAACATCCATGTGGGTTAAAGACTGAAGAGGATAGAGAAACTTCCTGAAAAAACAAAAGGTCAACAACCACTACCATAGAGGCAACATCCATGTGGGTTAAGGCTTGAGAGGATTGAAGTATGTTGAATGAATTTATTTATTTTTGGTTTCTTTTTCCAATTTCTTATAGGTTGGTGCAGCATCAATTTTTTATTGGCTTGATATCTTTTTGGAGAAAAAAATTATTCGATGCTTTTATACTTCGTGAATCTGTAAAGAAAAATAAGAATATTCTATACTTGAGTTGTTGTATTACCATTTGCCCTCACTGTCACGGCCATTGTTGTACATACAAGTTTATTGCATCTCAAATTAATTTAGAAATTGGTAATTTGATAAGATTTCTGTCATTGCACAACAAAGTGGCATTAACATAGGATGAGAATGAAACATTTTGTTTCATCTTTCCTGAGGTGTGTGCAATGGTGCAACCAAAAGTTGAATTTCCCTTTGCAACTTCAGATCTAATCAAAAGTTGAATGAAATATATATATATTCTCATTTTTCTTTATACATTCATTATAGTAGCATTGAAGAACTTTTTTCAAGAACATCAAGACAATGATGAATTGATCTTGCACTCACCTATAAGAAATTAGAAAAAAAAACTGACCTAAAATGGAAAATACACAGGAGATTAGTTGCATCCCATTGATAGACTCCCAAGTTTTTGCAGATATTTATATTTTTTCTTGTCTAGGAAGAATTAACCATGTGTACTGTATGCTTTCAGATTGTAATCTCACAAAAGGTTTTAGGCTAATATCCAGCTTTTGATTTTATAACATGTTCTCGGAACTGAATTGATGTAATTTTCTTACTGAAATGCAGGAAATTTTCATTTAGTTGGTCAAAAATATTGAAAGATTCATCATCAGTCGCAAATGATACTAAAAGCCTTACTGCCTCCCTCCATATCGTTTGATATATGCAAAGGACTCATATATTTACTACTCGAGAGGATCTGCAGCTCTTTCTGCTGAACTCAAGGAAGAGTCTCCTTGTTTTCCAGCAACAGTAGCTTCAAGTGAATCTGAAGGAGGATACTGCCTGCAAGATAAGATGAGGGATGAGATTAAAATATTAGCTCGATATCAAGTTGAACAGGTAAGTTCCACCCTCATACAGGTCAAAGCTTTCTTTTTCTTGTCCTAGAACTGGAGCCATGCACAAGAATCAAGATTTTGAAGGTGCAGAAACTTGTGGCATGTTCCATATACGTTAACTGAAGTTACCATTTACCAACCTTCTCAATTGTGGAACCATATTTCTCGGCTTCTTCTTCGACATACTGCATGAGGAAAATGATGGATCATGTATGTATATATTAATTAAAGATTACAGAAGATACGGAAGTTAACCGAATGGTTTATGGAAGATGCAAGCGAACCTGTCCAGTGACAGTATATAGTCTGTTATACCAACCATTGGATGCCATTCCAATAGCTGAAAACAAATGTCTTCTACTTTCCCCTGGATTTTGCAGTGTATACTCAATATAATACAAGCCTGATGATCAATGCACATTCGTCAAGTATAGAAACGAAGTAGACACATAATTCGTGTAAAAAATTTTAAATTGTAATAATAATATATACCATTAGAAGCTTTGCAATCTATGAGTTTTGCAGCCACACCTGGGGGCCTTTGCCAACTCCTGTCCAGTCCACTAACCTAATGGAAAGCGCAGTTAACTAAGCATGTTTAAGCAAAGCTCCATAACAAAAAGAAGAAAAAGACAATGACAATGTACCAGAGTGTCTGCAAAAGCTTCGACTTTACCGAAGGATTCCATTCGAGTAAAATCGGGACCAAGCCCTGAGATGGCTACGCTAACTGAAGCAGCAAATTTTAATTTTAGTTTTTATTGTATATGCAACCCACTAAATGGATATAAGAAAGGGCATGCATGCCAGATTAGCTTTACCATTTGAGTTGGCTGCTTCTTCTGGATAGAAAGCAGTAATGGACTTGAAACTATTGGGTTCACCAGCTCCCACTTGCCAATCTGCAACAACAAATTAATCATTTCATTTGTAAATTTCGACCCAAATCCCCGGAAACTCGAATATTCTAATTCTTATCGGGTGGTTTTCCAGTTCCAATGCCAATGCAAATCACATGTATATAAATTGGGTAAATTTAGGAAGGAGACACTAACCTTGGGGAATGAAAATCTTGTACTTATTCACTTCATCGTTATAAATCCTGAAATCTTGAGGCACATCTGAAACAGATAGAAACAAATTAATCAAATAGAAAAAAAGGAGAAAGAATTAACATCATAATATATATATAGTTATGTATGAACATAGTTACCAATCTCTGCAACTGCAAGAGCATTAGACGTAACCAATTGTGAAAAAGAAAAGGCAATAAGAGGCGCTTGAAACATAAATTGTCTTCTTCTAGTTGAAGCTACATGGCCACGCCCATCGTCTTCCTTGATTTCTTCTTGCTTTTGCAGTTGCTTTTGCTGCTGTCTCTTGTGATTTGCCACAGGAAAATGTAGCAATCCTCCTCCTCCTGCTAACAAAGATATTATGTCATGAAAGCAACGGAGTAATTAAGAGTAAAAATATACACAAAAGAGTGTTTATTTGTCAAAGTAGCAAAGCATTGATCGTCTGGTAAACCTCTCTTCTTCAAACATGGTGAAATGTAGTGATAATACAGTGACGAAGCTGAGGCCATTCTTGTATAGATTTCCAGGAATTTATTTATTTTTATTAATTAATTACTGTTTTGGTTCTTATATAGCAACTCTTTCAACTTTGTGGACGATAATTTCCCCTTTCCTTTTGTGGCTCACAAACAAAGCTTATCTAAAACTCTCAAGAAACCCCTTTTTGTGGCTGGAAACTAATCCAAATTACAATAGCTGCAATAAAAATGTGGGGTTTCGAGAAATGTTAACATATTGCAGAATCATTTGTTCTTGTGGTTCATAAAGTTGTATATTTTGTGAGCTCATAACCTGAGCTCAGGTTAAAAATGTTGTGGATGGGGTTGCCAACATCTCCATCTCCATGTGTGTTAACATTTTTAGACACTAGATAAGTGGTTTTCTGTTTTATGAGCATGTTGCTTGACAATTCAAACTTGCTGGTGAATTTCAGCGCACTTTCTTTTCCATTGATTTTGTTATTAGTTGTCATGCCTTTGCTCCCTTTCTTTTAATTAACCGTGAATACCAATAGGATTTGCTTACTGTGAATAGATTAAGAACAGCTCTGCTGAAAACATTAGGAGGCGTCAGCAAATCGCAGAAGGTTTTGAGCATTTGGCATGCTGGAAAGCTGTTCTAAACGTTGTCAACATGGGAACAGGGGACTTACACTGGCTGGGTAAGTTTCACTATTTCTTTTGACCTAGCGGCAATGGTTACAGATCTTCTTTTAAAAGATCAAAGTCCAGTACAATTTTTGCATGGATGATTAAATCAAGTTAAAATTGATTGTGCAATTTGGAAGGTAACAGTCATGGATAAGTTACATACAATAGATCAAAAAGTTCAAAACAAAGATGACCAAAATTACAATGAGAAGGATGAGATTAATTTGATAAGGAAGCATAGCATAAGTGCAGCAGGGAGAGTAGCGACTGAATTTGCCAATGTGGAGGCATCAGACATACTTCCCAATGGGGCACCTGCTGGTGAAAGTCCAGGAAGCGACCCAATAGATGGCACTGTAGAAGTCTTGGGCACAGTTTTAGTGGTACCATCCGTCTGGGGTGTTGGTGCCGGGGCAAAAACCGAATCCAGTACATAAGTAGGTGGGGCTACAAGGGGAGGAAATTGCTGCAGTCCTGCATTATTTAAAATAAAATGGAAATTTAAATCGGTCAAGAACCTGTTTATGACAATCAAGAAATGTATTTGAATTTGGAAAGTTAAACCACTCATGTTCAACTCCTCGAGATTTGAAGTCATGAGCTCAATATTTCACTCATTTTAACAAAACAAAGCACCAGAATTGTCGACAATTTTGCATCATTGAAGGTAACAAAAGAATTCAGTATGTTGATGAATAAATGATTATTATTTGAATGTGCAGATGCTACAACAAAAAAGACCAGATAAATGACACCAGATAATTCTACTCAGTTTAATTAGAAATTGCAAACTTAGTTGTTTTAATCAGTGTTAATGCAAAAAGGAAATAAATATATTCACATCATTGGATTAGATAAGTCCAAATCATGCTGAAATTAAATGATTTCTTGTCTTCATGGATTTTGGAATCACAAGCATTGAGAACAGTATTTATAAACGTGTACCTGGACATTGAGGTTGAAGAGAGGACGACAACCTGCAAAAAAAAGGCAAGGATTGGAAGGGTTCAGTCATCAGAAAAAGTCGAACAAGGAGATCATGTTTTACATAAATATCACAAAAAGTAAGTAAAAGCTGTAGCATACAAAGTGATAATGGTGCCATTCGCATAACCACCGTAAGCACAAGAAGTAACGTTGCATCCAGCACTACTTTGCTGCACTGTAACGTTCCCTAGCTTAAGATTGTTGCCTTTACATTGCATACTTGAACAAGAACAGCCAACAAAGAAGGCATGCAGTACAAACTGCTTGACACGATCAGTAAAGACGATTAACTCCACACTGCTAGATTTAAGGAAAAGAATCACAAGCAGTAAGACTATATACAACTAATAAACCAATAAGCTACGAAATGGCTCAATTACTTGCGACTCCCGGGGCCACAACTGCACTGGACACAGTGGCTAGCAGTAATAGCATAGCTCCCATTAGGAACAATCAGTCCATAATCGGAGGCATATTTTGGAAAATTAGAAGCACAAGCTGCAAGAACCGAAAGAACCAACACTTAACTTTCATTGTCATTAGAAACCGGCATAAACAATGCAAAAGCATAAAAGAAAACTCAATTCCAACGCAAAGTAGAACACAATTATTCCATCAACTTGAACTCATCAACGCCAAAAATATCAAAGGGATAAAGTTTCAGCTAAAACTACAGATGGTTATAGCAATACGATTTTTGCCTTTCTGGCAATCATACAAAAAGCTAATCCTAGTATCCTAATTACATAAGCAAGTATAAAACTCAACTCTACAGCTGAAAATTCAAGAAATAACATTGACTTTAGATGATTACATTGCAAATTTCAATTTTAATGTCAATCATACAATCTAACCAAAACAAGGAAATGAAAAACTACCTGATAAAGGAACAGCTAGAATATCACCAGCCTTAATTGAAGTACTCCCCATAGCATTGACATTCATTAAATACGTGATCGTAGTTGAATAACTCGCTGCAATTCCAACTAAAGTATCCACTGGATTCACCACATATGATAGATAAATGGTGGGCAGACCATTATCAGTCCCATTAAAACAAGTACACGGCAAAGGAATCACAAGGTTCTCCCCCACATCAAGAACAGAAGGATCGGCAATGGAGTTGGCCTCCCTAATCTGATCAGCTGACACCAAACCAGCCTAAATCGAATCAGCAATAGACGAAAGTGTGTCCTGTGGGCGAGTTTTGTACTTGGTGGAAACGGATTTTCGAATCCCATCAACACAGGAGCATTGAATTCGGATCTTGAGGAAGAGTCGGGAAGGAAGGCTATTTGACATAACTGACATCAATTTTCTTTAATATTCTCTTTCTGATACCGTTTGATCAATATTTCTCGAAGTAGCACTCTTTTTGCTGAGTTGACAAAGGCGCGTCCTAACTACCCCTCCTCCTCCCCTATATAAACCCCCTCAACCCTCCCTCGTTCTTCACGCCAAAATCATGTTCTCCTCTCTTATATAACTCAAATTCTCTAACTATTTGAGTTTTAAATTTGTTATTAGTGGTAAGAAATTTATTTTTATGTTAGTATTTTTTTAAATAGTTATTATTTTTTATATTAATATATTTATGTAAATATTATTTTTTTATTAAAATAATATTTATATAATTATTATTTATTTAGAATTATTAATTTTTTTTGCTAATTATATTGTTTTGTCTACAGTTATAATGGAAAACGAAATGCTGTTGCGATTGGATATTGATCATATCTCCAGACATTTTAGCGATATGGTAATATTTTTTATAATTAATGTTAATATTTAAATTTATTTTTATTTTAAAGTTATTATGAATTTATATTAATTTTTATTTTTTATAATGTATATTATTTAGGATACTGATCGTATTTTAGAGACTTTTTTTAAAAATCTACGTATACCGACACCGGAACGTATTTTGCCATATTTGGCTTCTGCCGGGTTCAAGTATATTGCAACAATTATAGGCGGTTGCAAACTCGAACCTGTCCTAATTTCTGCACTGATTGAGAGGTGGAGGCCCGAGACACACACTTTTCACATTCCATGTGGAGAGACGACAATTACATTGGAGGATGACTCTATGCATCTGGGGCTTCCCGTCGAAGGAAATATGATGTGTGGTATGGCGGATGGTGATTGGCAATCAATGTGCATTGATTATCTTGGAGCTACTCCGCCAGAGTTTAATGGAGGTAGAATAGCTTTATCTTGGTTGAAAGTTAATTTTGAGGTTTTAAATGAAAATGCTTCAGAGGATCAAGCAAAGGCATGTGCTCGGGCATATATTCTACGAATAATTGGAGGAATATTGATGTCCGACAAATCTCGCAACCAGGTGCATTGTATGTGGTTGCGGCATCTGATCGATTTTGATGAAGCTGGAAGATATAGTTGGGGCGCTGCAGTTTTGGCATTTCTCTTTAGAGAAATGTGTCGGGCGACGAATTATAAGAAAACTGCTATCGGTGGATGTCTTCTGCTTCTACAATCATGGGTGTGGTTCCGCATGCCTTTCTTATGCCCGATCGTGAATGAACCATACGTATTCCCCTTATTGTTGAGGTAATTTTCGAACTAAATTTTGATTTAAATATTTTCAATTAAATATGGTGATATTTAGTTTATATTATATTTCATAGGTGGTCGATGAAAAGAAAGGACCATAAAAGTATACCTACTGGGTTAGAGGAAATTCGTTTACTTATTGATACGAAAGCTGGGTCTGAGGTATGTTTTTAAATTTGTTTAATTATTAATATTTTAATTTAAAATGTTAGATATATTAGAATATTTTATTTATTTAAATTGTATATTTATATTTCAGTTTCAGTGGATACCTTATGCGAGCGATGAAGTGAAAGCTTGCATTCCACCCCACCTTAGTGGGTCATTAGAGGTATGGATATCGGTTATACCTCTTATATGTTATGCTATTATTGAGTGGCATCCAGTTGATCGCGTGCTCCGTCAGTATAGTTGTACGCAATATATTCCTAGAGCTCCTATGAATTTAGACGACGTGCATAACATAGATAGACGAGAAAAGAAAGATGTTAACTGGGTGGTGAGACACAGAGATTGGATTGCGCTTTGGGAGAACCGATATACACTGTTGGCCCCTTCAGCGTCATCTACACCAAATGAAGAAAATGCTGCTGATGATGATAGTGAAGATGAGGAGACTGAAGAACAAGTTCCACGAAGAAATCCTCCACGAAATAGACAACCATCGCCATGTGGAACTCATTCGAGAAGACGACATCGGTGATCTAGTTGTATTTAATGTTATTTAAATAATTATATTTCAGAATTTTATGTAATTTGGTTATGTTATTTAAATGTTTCATGGTTGTTACATACATATTTTTTAATGTTATTTTTTATTCACATTTAACATTAAATGTTTGATAAATGTTTTTAAAATATAAATTATATTATTCGAAATTTAAAATAAAAATAAAAATAATATTATTCGAAATTTAAATTTAAAATATAAATTATAGTATTCGAAATTTAACATTAAATTTCAACTTAATATTCCAATTGTATTCGAAATTAAAAGTTATATTCCAATTATAGTTCACAATACTTAAATTGAAATTAAATTTATCCATACATATGATTTTATCATTAACATATATATTAAAACGTATACATTAAAATCAACTTATGTTGAGTTAATCGATCGACGGAATCGGCCAAGAGGGGGGTGAATTGGCAATTTATTCAATGTCACATTTCAATGCTCATTCCATACAATTTCAATGTCACAATCAACTTATCACTTCACATTTATTCAATTTATCCATAACATTTTATCTAATTTATTCAAACTTCACATAACGTTTTAATTTAAGTTATTCTTAACTTGCTGAACTTTCAAAAGAAGTTAAATTTTGGTTATAATTTACCTGATTTACTGATATATCTAGTGTCCCCGAGGGACATGAGTGACATAATAGGGCAATGATAACATATTCTATGACAAAATAATGGAAGGCGCGCCCCCGGGAACGCGCCTTCATGTCCCCTGAGAAATAATAGGTACTGATATGAATAATGTCCCCGAGGGACATGAGTGACATAATAGGGCAATGATAACATATTCTATGACAAAATAATGGAAGGCGCGCCCCCGGGAACGCGCCTTCATGTCCCCTGAGAAATAATAGGTACTGATATGAATAATGTCCCCGAGGGACATGAGTGACATAATAGGGCAATGATAACATATTCTATGATAAAATAATGGAAGGGGCGCCCCCAGGAACGCGCCTTCATGTGAATAGTGAAATAATAGGTACTGATATATCTAGTGTCCTCGAGGGACATGAGTGACATAATAGGGTAATGATAACATATTCTATGACAAAATAATAGAAGGCGCGCCCCCGTGAAAGCGCCTTTATGTGAATAGTGAAATAATAGGTACTGATATATCTAGTGTCCCCGAGGGACATGAGTGACATAATAGGGAAATGATAACATATTCTCTGATAAAATAATGGAAGGCGCCCCCCCGGGAACGCGCCTTCATGTGAATAGTAAAATAATAGGTACTGATATATCTAGTGTCCCCGAGGGACATGAGTGACATAATAGGGCAATGATAACATATTCTCTGAAATAATGGAAGGCGCGCCCCCGAGAACGCGCCTTCATGTGAATAGTACTCCGATTATAGACACTATTATATGCAACATATTATAAACTTTCAAAACAAACTTCAGTTTACAAGCTTTCAAATTCTCAAATTCCCAAACTCTAAATTCTCAAATTCTCTGAAAATGAGTCGTCTTTCTGCTGTTGTTTTGTATGATGTACTAATTAAGGAAGCTGAAGAGGGGGTTATTTTTGAGTCAGATCATTATATCTCCTTAACCTTGAAGAGAAACATCACAATTGAGGAGTTAATCACAAAAATTTCGTTAAAGATTCGTGTAACAGGCCAGAGAAGACTATATTCACTTCAGTACAGATTTCCTACTGAACTTTTTCCGCTCACGTATACATCATTTCAGCTTTCAAACGATGATGATGTTTCTATGATGGTTGATGCTCATATGGGGAGTTCACAATCTCTTATTGAAATGTATGACACTTTTATTGAGGTTCGTGCAACTCGTGGTCTCTCATATTCCTCTCACTTTGGCATTGCATATCAAACTGATCAAGTTGATAGCCCGACACAACTGATCTGTAATAATTTCACATCATTAATGGCGGATCCAACGCCAGATACCATGCCATCAAGTTCAATAGGAAGACATTCATCTGCAACTGCTTATGATCTCAACCCACGTGGCTTCACCAATAATCCATATGGCAACATCTTTTCTACTTCAAGGGGCAGACATTCATCTGCCAATGTTTTCGACTTACATATGGAAATGCCAACGAGACGACAGTCTATTCACATCCCACATGATACAATGGCCTCAAGTTCAAGGGGAGGACACGCAAGCGGGGACTTATTTGACCTCAACATTGGATTATCGGAGGAACCCTCATCTCCACCAGAAGAACCTCTTCGGGAGCCAGGTGCTGAAACGGGATTATTCGTTGAACCTGACTCACCACAGTTTAACGTACATTCTGATGATGACGATGATGACGTTCCGATAAATACAACACCAGCCGAACTTCCTGCACATATGTATGAGGCTGATTATGATGCAATGTATGAGCCTGAATTTCCAGATCTTCCTGATGTTGGCAACTATGGACTTCAATCATCAGTCAATGACGGTAATTTACATATTGGAATGGAGTTCGCATCGAAGGAGGAAGCAATGATGGCAATAAAGAGTTACAATATTCGTAACTCAGTTCAGTCCCGAGTTGATCGATCTAACACGGAGAAATATGTCTGCTACTACGTCCAACGTGAGAACGGATGTCAATGGATGGTCCGTGTATTAAAGAGGAAGAGGAAGAACAACTTATAGGAACTAACCAAATACAACGGTCCTCATACATGTTGTGCAACAGGTATAAATCAGGATCATCCCAACTTGGACTCCAACATTATTTGTCAAGCAATCATGCCCATTGTGAAGCAAAGCTCTCATATAGCTGTTGCAGTGTTGATTTCTGCTATACAGTCACAATATGGGTACACTATCTCATATAAAAAAGCGTGGTTGGCAAAACAGAATGCCATTTGCAAACTTCATGGCGAATGGGATTCCTCTTACAACGAGCTACCCAGTTGGTTTCATGTTGTGCAAAGACTTAATCCCGGGACAGTTGTTGAGTTCGAAACTCAACATCATT